ATGGGGGAAATATATATGTATGTATGTATTTATGTATCCGATTATGCTTGTTTTCTCAATTATTTTAAAAGATGGTCAGACAGGGGCTGGCCAGTTAGCTCAGTTGGTTAGCACAGCGTTACAACACCGAGGTCAAGCATTCGGATCCCCATGCCAGCCAACCATCAAAAAAAAAAAAGAAAATGATCTGACTCACTAATAATTAAGAAAATCTTAATGTGTAAGATTGGCAAGTATTGAAAGATTGACACTGCCCAGTATTAACCAGGTATGGAGAAATAGGCACTCTCGAAAATTGTTGGGTAGGAATATAAATTGGTACAACAGTTGTGGAAGTTGATTTGAATATATCTGTTAAAACTATAAATGTTTATACTCTTAGACCCAGCAGTATTACTTTTAAGAATTTGTCCTGCAGAAACACCTGGTCAAGTTTATAAAATATTTACAGGAGAATATTGTCTGCACTGTTGTTATTTTGTTTGTTTTTTAAAATCACATGCCATAAAATTCACCCTTTTAAAGTTTACAATTCTGTGGTTTTTAATATATTCAGAAAGTCTTGCAGCTATTACCACTATCTAATTTCAAAACATTTTCCTAATCCCCAAAGATACCCATACCCATTAGCAGTCACTCTGCATTCTAATCTTTCCCCTTCCTCTGGCATCCACAAATCTCTCTCTCTATAGATTCGACTACTATGGACATTTCATATAAATGGACTCATACAATATGTGGCCTTTTGTAACTGACTTTTTTCACTTAGCATAATGTTTTCAAGGTTCATCCATATTGTAGCATGTTTCATTCCCCCTTATGGCTGAAAAATATTTTATTACCACATGTTCTTTATTCATTCATTGACATTTGGGTTCGATTCCACTTTTATATTGTGAATATAATCATTCATGTGTAAGTTTTTTTAGAACACCTGTTTTCAAGTCTTTTGAGATATATACCTAGGGGTAGGACTTTCTTTTTAACCGTTTGAGTAACCGCCAGACTATTTTCCAAAGTGATTGCACCGTTTTTAAATTTCCACCAGCAGTGCACAAGCGTTCCGATTTCTCCACATCCTCTCCAACACTCACTGTCTGTCTTTGTTTTGTTTTTGGCGGCTGACTGGTATGGGGATCCAAACCCTTGGCCTTGATGTTATAACACCACACTGTAACCAGCTGAGCTAACCAGCCAGCCTGTTACTGGCTTTTTGATTTTGGCCATTCTAGTGGGTATGAGTGGTCATTGTGGTTTTGATTTGCATTTCTGTGATGACAAATGACACTGAACATCTTTTCATGTGCTCTTTGGCCGTTTGTGAAACTTCTTTGGAAAAATGTCTGTTCAAGTCCTTGCCCATTTTTTAATCAGGTTGTTTGGTTTTTTATTGTTGAGTTATAAGGGTTCTGCCTGTATTTATGTGTACTTGACCCTTATGAATACATGGTTTGCAGATATTTTTTTTTCCATTCCATGGGTTGTGTTTTCACTTTCCTGACAGTGTCCTCTTATACACAGTGCAATATTGTTTTCCTTAATCAACTCTTAGAAACATTCTAATGTCCATCAAGAAGAAATTGATTAATAAATGATAGGATATCCGTAGAATGTAATTCTTTATAACCATTAAATGTTTAATGTACACCAGTCATTTAGAAAGATGCAAATTACAAGAGACAAGTTAGAAACAGTATCAATAGAATGATACCATTTTAAAAATAAAATGAAAGTAATAACTACAAGGAAAAAAATTGTCGATGAATACTAATAGTAAATAATATGTAGTGAGTAGTTTATTAATAGTAAACTATAAGTGGTTTTTACTATTTATTTCTGTAATGTTGGTATTTTATAATCATACATTATTTTTAAAACAAGGAAAAACACTAGATATTTTATAATTGTGATTTGACATGCTGTTTCTAGCTTTGTTTTTGCTTCTGTTGAAACAGGTGTGAGTCATCCTGTTCTAAAGCAAGTTGCTGAACAATTTCTCAACATGAGGGGTGGGCTTGGATTATCTGGTGCAAAGTCCAGATACCGTGGAGGTAAGCATTTTGTTCTACTAGGACAAATTTATCAGAAGGACATTTCTCCCCTTAATACCATGTTGGGGTGGAATAGGCCTGATTACTTACTACCAAACAGTTTCAACCTGGAAGGAAAGAATTAGATGGCTTGAGTGTTACATATTAAACATGTTTTGTGGGGGTGGAGGGGGCAGGATGGCATGGAGAAAGCACAGAGCCACAGAAGAGCTTAATCTTAGTGGGATAATACTGTGCTATGGGGAATACTGAAGAATAAAACCAATGGTGACCAAGCTGTTTTCTTCTTCACTCTCTCTGTATGTGCCCCAGGTGAAATTCGAGAACAGAATGGAGACAGTCTTGTCCACGCCGCTCTTGTAGCAGAAAGTGCCGCCACAGGAAGTGCAGAAGCAAACGCATTCAGTGTTCTTCAGCATGTCCTCGGTGCTGGGCCACATGTCAAGAGGGGCAGCAATGCCACCAGTCCTCTGTACCAGGCTGTTGCCAAGGGAATTCACCAGCCCTTCGATGTGAGTCTGAGCAGTTGGTGTCTTTTTGTTTTTAAGGGCTCAGTGTTTGAGATGTAATCCTGATAATCTCTTAAAATTTAAGACAAACACATAGAAAATCTTTCTACAATTGAAGAAACAGTCAGGCTTGATTTTCGTACCTTAGTGGGTCTATCAAAACTTTATTGTCGGGGCCGGCCCGGTGGCGCACTGCTACAGTGCGCCGCTTGGGAAGCGCGGCAGCGCTCCCGCCGAGGGTTCGGATCCCACATACAGACCGGCCACTCACTGGCTGAGCGAGGTGCGGGCGCAACACCGAGGGTTGCGATCCCGTTGCCGGTCACAAAAAAAAAAAGACAAAAAGGAAAAAAAAAAAACTTTATTGTCTTTTCAGTTATTCTACTATAGAAAGAGGAATTGGATGACTAGTCTTTTTTTCTAGATTTTCTTCTGTCCCCTTGTGTTCCTGTGGCTACTTCCCAAAATTTCATTGCTTTTTATGTTTTCCAACAAAGTGGACAAGGTATACGCCAAAAAGTTGTTTACAGACCTACCCCTCCAGGTTGAGATTAAGAATAAAAATGATGACATTTAATCCTAACAAAAAGCTCATGTTATTTTAGAAGACACCTTTTTTGACCATGAGGCAAGTGCTATGGCTTTCAAAATAATGATATTCAAATCAGGAGAATGTGAAATGTCAACCAACTCAGTACAAGTATTATTTAATGAGTAAGCATAGTTTGCCCAATGTAATATCCTACATGACCTTCAACACTATGCCTTTAAAAGGTAACAACCGTACTCAGTTGTAGGATTGAGCATGTTCACAATTTCAGCTACAATAGATGGCACATGTAGGTTTATGCTTCAGGAAGTCTTTTGCCATTTGACACCAGATAAAATTAAAATCAACCTTTTGTTTTTATTTCTCTGTTTAATACTTGAATAGTTTTCAAACTCTTTTTTTTTTTTTTAAGATGACCAGTAAGGGGATCTTTACCCTTGACATGTTGTTGTCAGCACCACGCTCTCCCAAGTGAGCCACGGGCCAGCCCTTCAAACTTTTTTTTTAAGCAGAGGAAATTTTTTTTTCCATATGATTTCCCAACTGCAATGCACAACACAAAAGTTTTAACTTTTAAAGAAATTTGGAAGGCTTACTTGACTGTGAAACCCTTTGAATCTCTGTACAAAGCCTGAGGGTTCCCAGAGCACAGTTTGAAAACCATTATCTTAATTAGTCCTAAAATAAATTTAGCTGCTGCTTTTATAATTTCCTCTAGATTTTCTTCTTCTTGGTTCATAGTCAGCTCTTTGTTTTGTTCGTGCTTTACTTTTCACCATTGAATGTTACTGATGGTTTTGTGCAGCTAGAATTTAATCCTAATCCAATAACATAATTTAGTAGAAATTCCAAGGTCAGAATTTGGCCAGAAATGTGAAGTGTGGATAGGATAGTCTCAGAATTATAATTAAACTTCGAGTAATTGAAGCATATTTTTTCTTATGCTTTATGTGAACTGAACCAATGGTTCTCAGACTTTAATATGCATAGGAGTCACCTGGAACACTTGTTTACAATGTGGGCTCCCAGCTGCATTCACAGGGATCTTTTGCAGGAATCTGAAAGTCCATATTTTTAATAACAACTTGGGTGACTCTTATGTAAATGGTCCACATAAACACTGCAAAACACTGTACTGGGCAATTAAATTCACCTTAAGGAGCTTAAAATTCTGCTCAGACTATAGACAACAATATCCCTATTATCCAGAGGCTAAACTTCTTGCTACCTTGAACATCTGGATAATGGGCACTAAGCAGAAATTTTTCTGGAATGCTTTGACTTTAATGTATAGGAGAAGTGAAAGCAAATTAGTGAAAAAGTCACCACCATGAGCAGAGAAAAGAAACCAGATCTGTCTAATGCCAAAGCCCACAAACTATACCACTTGGCCATTCTGTATAAATATTATGATAATAATGTTTGCATTAACTTTTAATCATCAAAAGAAGGTTAGAAAATACCCATCAAAAAGAGAAAGTGAGGGCCGGCCCGTGGCTCACTCGGGAGAGTGCGGTGCTGATAACACCAAGGCCCCGGGTTCGGATCCCACATAGGGATGGCCGGTTCGCTCACTGGCTGAGCGTGGTGCTGACAACACCAAGTCAAGGGTTAAGATCCCCTTACCGGTCATCTTTTAAAAAAAAAAAAGAGAGAGAAAGTGAGCAGTCACTTTAGAAGGATTTAAATGAAAAAACAGTTAAAATCATTACAATTCTGAAAAAGGTAACCTGTGTATAGAATACTTCAATCCTTGATAGTACTAAGTGGCATACTAATTAATGTTTTGTTTATACTGTGAAGGTATAAGTTTTTGTGTAAACAGCTTTAGGGAAACTGCCCTGTTCTACCTGGTAGAATATCGTACAGTGAAGTTTCATTATGTTTCAGGTTTCTGCTTTTAATGCCAGTTACTCAGATTCTGGACTCTTCGGGATTTACACTATCTCCCAGGCTGCAGCTGCTGGAGATGTAAGTTGCCAACACTCACAAGTTTTTTTTCCCCCCATCATTAACATGTTTTTGGTTAAAACATGGAATGTTTGAATGCCATGACTTATCAGAGCTCTGAATAGTATGATACCATTGAAGTGTATTCACCATGGGGAAAACTTAAAAATGTATACTAATGCTTCCAGAAAAGAGGGGGAAATGCCTCCTTGGTGTTTCAGTTCTGGTTGAACAAGTGACATTGAGTTGGCTCAGAGACATCTAAATTGAGAACCCAGGAGAGGTCAAGGCCAAGATACATATTTGCAGGTCCTCAATGTAGAGATCATGTTGAAGTCAGGGTTATGTTTGAGTTTGTAGGAGAAGAAAGCTGAAGTTCAAGTTCTGGAAAACACCACTATCTAAGAAGCAAGTGACTAAGGAAAATGGTCAGGAAAACAGGAAGAAAGAGAATCTGATATATGTGGAGGCCAGCAAAAAGAATGATTAACACCATTTTGATCCACTATAGATTAACATCCCTTTAGTAGCCACAGAAAGAATGATTAACACCATTTTGATCCACATGGATTAACATCCCTTTAGTAGCCACAGAAAGATTTGGTAGTTTTAGCAAACGAGGACATCATTGGTGATCTTATCAGTTTTCACCAGAGTAGTGGAAGTGAGCTAAAATTTATAGTGATTAAGGAATGATTGAGAAGTAAGAAATGAGGGCCGGCCCCATGGCTCACTCGGGATAGTGCGGCGCTGGGAGTGCTGAGGCTGCAGGTTCAGATCCTATATAGGGATGGCCAGTGGTGCGGACAACACCGTGCCAAGGGTTGCGATCCCTTTATCGGTCAAAAAAAAAAAAAAAAAGAAATGAGAGGTTGGTCTAGGCAAGTGGAGCTTCGACTTGCAGAGAGGAGGCTGATAGTTGTAGGAGAGTCTATACTGAGACATTAAGTTGAAAGAGACATTTATACTGAAAGAAGAGAAAGATTGGAGCAGACGTAGGAATTAGAAAATTATAAGTGTCTCAAGTCTGAAAAAGCAAGAGCAAATGGGATCTAGAGTGCATGTGGACATTTTAGCCTTGGAAACAAAAGCTGACGTTGGGAGATGTGGGGAAGACGAGACAGTGCGAGTGCATCCTTGGTGAGGTAGGAGGCTAAGTCATGTTCTGAGAGTGAGAGAAGGGAGGAAAGTTTAAATAAAGTAACGAGGTTTGGTACAAATGAATGGCTGGATACACACAGAGTGGGCATTATCATCAGTGACATGAGTGACCATGAAGTCACAGTACAGTCAGTCAGGTTTGTCATAATTTTTCTTCAGTAGCATTCACTAGTCAAATGGAGGAGACAGGTCATAGGGTTAATCCCAGTTTGGAATCCTGCAAAGTGGGCAGGTGAGAAGCAGGAGGAGACAGCAGGGGAGTTGGGGACAGTGGCAAAAGTAATTAAAGGGATGATTCATGGATCTAGCCTAGATCGGGAGGTGAAGCCAGAGGGGCCTGAAAGATTGAAAGAAATGGACAAATGAAGGAACCAGAGATCTTGATAAAATGGGAGAACAGGAGAACGTGATTAAAGACTGAGGCTGGAGGTCTTGGGATTGAGAATTTTAGATGTAGGGCAAGTCTAGGTTATGTTCAAGTGTGGGGTGTGGCTGTGGGAAGTAAATAGTTAAAATGGAGGGGAGACAAAGGTTCTAGAATTTAGGTGATCAGAGGGAACAGATGCAGATACGGAATGGTGCCAGGGTTGGGATGGAGAAAATCATGGGCCAGGTTTGTTAATATATTTGTTCAACACATATTACAAACACCTGCACCACAAAAACTTGATTCCTTCTTGCCTCTGACATTGCAAGTATGAACAAGCCTTACAAATTGGCTGTGTATGGGTTACCTTAGCGAATAGTAAGAGAGAGTGGTATTAATTGCATGACACTGTGAGAATCTGGGGAGATTTTAGAGGTGCTTATTCTTTATAGGTGACTATAAATCCTAAAGAAGAGCCATCCTCTTTGGCCATTCTCTGCCATCTGCCACTTAACTTTTGGAAGAAGCTTGGCTACTTGGTTACTAGAAGTTGTACAGACAGCTGCTTTATGGCACATAGGAAGAATAAGGAACACACAGTGACTACAGACTTCCAAATGGACACTGCTATTGCTCTGGAACTAACCTTCCAGTTTGTGTTTTTGCCTCAGTAGAGCAGTATTTGATTGCTGCAGGGGACCCTGGGGCTGGCCAAAGGTGACCATCTTTCACTTGTCTATCCTAGGTTATCACAGCTGCCTATAACCAAATAAAAACAGTCGCTCAAGGAAACCTTTCCAATGCAGATGTCCAAGCTGCCAAGTAAGTTTCATTATTCACCCTGTGTTTCATGTGTTAGTTATTTGGATGTCGTATATTTCCTAGTGATAACAATATTATAATATATGCTCATAAGGATTGAGAAGTACAGAAACTAAAAGAGAAAGGGAAACACACCCACATCCTACATATCCCACCACCTAGAGATATAATTGTTAATATTTTGCTTATTTTTTTGACCATGCTGGGGTTTTTTGGGGGGCGGGGGGATGTTGCGGGGATCCAAACCATTGACCTTGGTGATGACTGTGCTTTTTTTTTTTTTTAAAGATGACCGGTAAGGGGATCCTTAGCCCTTGACTTGGTGTTATCAGCACCACACTCTCCCAAGTGAGCCACCGGCCAGCCCAGACTATGCATTTTTAAACATAGTATACAAATGCTCCCTCATTTATAAAGATGACCGGTAAGGGGATCCTTAGCCCTTGACTTGGTGTTATCAGCACCACACTCTCCCAAGTCAGCCACCGGCCAGCCCAGACTATGCATTTTTAAACATAGTATACAAATGCTCCCTCATTTATGATGGGGTTATGTCCCAATAAACCCATCATAAGCCTCGAAAATATTGTAGGTTGAAAATGCATTTAATAAGGTCTGGGATTCAATCCCTGTACTGGCCAGCAAAAAAAAAAAGAAAGAAAGAAAATGCATTTAACATCCTAATAAATCCATCATAAAGTCGAAAAATCTTAAGTTGAACCATCATACGTTGGGGACCATCTGTATTTTTTGTATTCTGTTTAAATAACATGTTTATTATAGAAATTTGAAAATTACAAATGAAAAAAGACAAAAATGATCTTTGATTCCCTACCAGTGATTCCTTTTTTTAAAGCCTTATAATGATGTTTTCATTTATTCAGATTACTAAAACTTTGTTTGAATGATATTAATTGGTGTATCAAAATACACATGGGCATTTTCTGCAGCTGGAAATTATAAACTGTAAGGGATATCTGTGAGCTTAAAACATTTTTTATTTTATATTTTTTGGTGTAGATTCCCAACTGAGTCAAGAGTTGTAAACATTATAACAAAAGGTTCCATGTTAAAATATGTGTGTGTTTATATAACATTTTTATTTGTTTTTAATAAGAAAGACTAAAATACTAATATGTCTTGTCTGCTATTTGGTGATTTTTAAATTCCCACTGTCCAGGTTGAAAGTATTAACACCACCACTGCTAACTCATTAATCGTTGAGGGAGTTTCTGTGACTCTAAGAGACAGACTTTGGACAAAGTTGGAAATCAACTGGCATTTCATACAGCAGCACAAGACATTTAAGTTTAAGTTCATGTTAGGACAGTTGAAAATATGAATCCTGCAACTCAGATGGTTTTTATGGTCATTTAGTATTGCCCAGAGGCAAATATGGCAAGGTGAACCCAGGATGGAACATTTTAGTCATCTCTATTCCCATTAGCATGGCTGGTTTTGTTATACTGAGCACACTACAAAATTACATCTCATGATTAAGTACAACACAATTTATTAAATATTGTATACATGGAAACAAGGATGACACTAGAAACAAAACATGATGAGAATAAACTGAAACACTGGATTTACTTAAGAAAAATCCAAATTTCAAATCTACTTTAAGAAAATGTATTTTCTTAAGTGTAACACAGTTCTTACAAGGTATGGCAATATGTAGAAAATGGGATTTTGGCTATTAAGGTTATGTTTATTTTCTGCCATTTTGATGGAATTGATACTTTTTTTTTTTTTTTTTTTTTTTTTTTTTTTTTTTTTTTTTTTTTTGTGACCAGTAAGGGGATCTCAACCCTTGGCTTGGTGTCGTCCACACCGCGCTCAGCCAGTGAGCGCACTGGCCATCCCTATATAGGATCCGAACCTGCGGCCTTGGCACTCCCAGAGCCGCTGCGCTCCCAGCGCCGCACTCTCCCGAGTGAGCCACGGGTCTGGCCCTTGATACTTTTTTTTGTAAGGTTCTTAGTCTCCTTATAGTGAAAGAAAGTGAGGTGTCATTGCTGAAGGGACAAGCTAATAACTTGGTAAAGTTTATTGCAGATAAAATCCTTTTCTAATTAAGCTGACAATATGGTAAATTGCTGCATTAAATTATAAGTATGTTTAACTGGAAGTCTTGCTATGGAGTCTCAAAGGGTGTTAGTTTATTTGGGGTTTAAATAACTCAAGTGCTTTATTGAACATTATGTTTATAAGGAATACCAGTTTCTTTCTGGGAGAATTGTGAATTGGGTTTTGTTTTATTTCAAATTGATACTTTTATGCCCCTATCTAAGCTACTAGGGCTTACAAGACCTGTACTGTCCTTCTCCGCCTGCCTTCTCTGTCACCCTCACTGAGACAAATCCCAGCATACAGATAGTGCTTGGAGGGAAAATAGAATCAGCACACAACATTCTGCTAAGCGGACAGTACTGTAAGAGCCCACATAGATATCATTCTTTCATAGAAATGCCTGAAATTATCACTAAGAAAGTATTAGGAGGCAGGAGTTACATCACTAATCAAAACCTCACATTAAAATAGTTTTACCTAAGGTCAGTGTTATAACACCAAGGGCAAGGGTTTAGATCCCCACACAGGTCAGCCACCAAAAAAATAAAAAGTAAAATAAAACTAAAATAGTTTTAACTAGATCTAAATTCTAGTCCAAAATAAAAAGCAATCTGTTGAGGTTTTGGTATGATTTTTCGACTTTATGATGGTGCAAAAACAATATGTATTAGGTAGAACACCAGTAAATTACATGAGATATTCAATACTTTATTGTATGATTTTGCCCAACTGTAGATTCATGTAAGCATTCTAAGCATGTTTAAGGTAGGCTATGCTGAGCTATGATATTCGATAGGTTAGGTGCATTAAGTGCATTTTCGACATACAGTATTTTCAGCTTATGATGGGTTTATTGAGACATACCTTCATTATAAGTTGAGGAGCATCTGTATCTCAGCAAGTGGCAGCCCTCTCGCTGACAGCAAAGACATCTTCCTCATTGTGCCAGTGGGGGCAGAAAGAGAATGTTAGTATAGGCCAGTGGCTTGCAGAGGATGGATATTACACAACTGGACCCAGAGGCCTTGGGAAACATTAAGAAGCTCTCCTAACGTCTTGCCAAATCTGCAAAAGCAGGTGGACCCACAGATGAGAAGCCAGACTTCACAGGATGGGCCTTCAACGGGCACTTTTGGGACCCTGAAGAGATTTCTTCCATGCAGGCTAATTGCTTGAGTGAGAAGTTTCAGAGCAGGGAGCAGTGCTGTTTGGGGGGAATTTAGGAAGAGGAGACACACTGTTCCTGCATCAGTTAAATAAAGATTTGCTGTTCATGCCTCCCCCCAAAAATTGCCTTGCTCTGTGAAACTGACTGACTTCTGCCTTTTATGGGACAGGGACAAGCTGAAAGCTGGATACCTAATGTCAGTGGAGTCTTCTGAAGGTTTCCTGGATGAAGTCGGGTCCCAGGCTCTAGTTGCTGGTTCGTACATGCCACCATCCACAGTCCTTCAGCAGATTGACTCGGTGGCCAACACTGATGTCATAAATGTAAGCAAATGAAAACTTAAGATTTAACATTAGAGGGCCGGCCCGGTGGCGCACTCGGTAGAGTGTGGCGCTTGGGAGCGCGGCGGCGCTCCCGCCGAGGGTTCAGATCCCATATAGAGACCAGTCCGCTCACTGGTTGAGCGCGGTGCGGGCGCGACACCGAGGGTTGCGATCCCGTTACCGGTCATGAAAAAAGACAAAAAGGAAAAAAAAAAAAAGATTTAACATTAGAGAACTTAACCTTAATGATCCAGTTGCGAAAGGAATGCATAAGCGTCCTTGGGCTGTGTATGTGTTATTCTCCTGTTATTTGGTGCCTGTCTACCTAGTATGGAGGCAGAAGGCTCATTATGATCATGTCTGCAAATAGTTTCCTTGTTACCTCTGCAGTGTATAGATCTTCCTCATTCAGATAAATTACTATTAGGTTAAACCATTTTAAATTCCTAGAGGTCAAAAGAGTTGAATATTGGCAGTTTCATATGATTAAACCTAAATAATAAAGTTTGCTATTTTTCCTCTTCATCTCCAAGAAATAAACCCTATCCTACCAATCCTTCACCATCCAGCATCTCAAGACTTTCTTCACTTTTCTCACCCTAAGACAGGCTCCTGCTCTTGTGGGGTTTTTTTCTTTCTGCACACATATATATATTATTGTTGCCTACAAGATTGAGTTATTTTGAGGGTAAGGACTATGTCATATATTAATTTGTATTTCCTACTGTGCTTAACAGGCACATGAACTACAGAATAAATCCAAAGTCATTGGGTTTTCCCAGTGCTTTCTACATTAAAAATGCCAGCTCGCCTTCCATTGGAGGTATCTCAAGCATCTTCTCATCAACAGGTCTACCTTGTAGGAAAAATGGAGATAGAAAAAGAGAGACTTGGCTACTTTAAGATAGTAACCATGACTTAATTTCACTTGGCCCCTAAGTTCATCATCACATACTCTTCCAAATGTCTGTCCTCATCTTATACATGAGTACCATCATTATGTGAGTCCCTACCCAATGCCTCAAAGCCAGCCTGAGATAAAGTGGGGACCTCTGCTCTGCCTAGACCTACCTTGTGGTATTACACTTAACCCACACAACCAGCCTTTGAAGTTGAAGTAGTGGCATAAAGAGTACTAGGATATAAAGTTTACTTTTGAGTGAACAATCAGTGTATTATGGTAGACCCAGATTATTTGCCATTGTAATACAAAAACAGGAAGTTACATCCCCGCCTGAAGCTGCTGTACCTTATTTTGCAGTTGTCAGGTTTCCCTCTTACCTAGATCTGATGGAACATTCAGAGGAACAGCTGAGCTTTCCCTGCCACATTGTCATGAAGTAAAGCACCAGCCATCTCATAGTTAATTTTCACAAGAGGCTGTTATAGAATTGCTGGCTTAGAATGTTCTACCCATAAACTTTCAAAATGACAGAATAAGTTTATCTACTTGATGATACATATTCTTATTACTATTAACTTTCTTTTTTCATTTGTTTATTTAAAGGCTGCAAAGAAGTTTGTTTCTGGCCAGAAGTCAATGGCAGCAAGTGGAAATTTGGGGCATACACCTTTTGTTGATGAATTTTAATACTGAAGCCCATATCACAGGACAGAGCTGAACATTTTGTCAGCCCGAAGGTGCAAACACAGGAAAGTCAAAAGTCTCTCATATGTATAACATGCATCTTTTTTTTTTCAGTGAAGTAAAATATCTTAAAGTATAAATGCAGGTAATTATTCCTAGCTGACCTAAAGTCAATAAAACATTCTGCTTAAATGTTTTTCTTGCATTTTTCCTAATCAGTTAATCAACAAGTATTTATTTATTTATTATATACTGAGATCTTTGCTTTAGATGCTGTAAAGGAGACAGGAGTATAATAGTTGAGTAAAGACGCATCAGAAACTATTCAAATTAAATGGCTGCCAAGGCAAATGTTTCCAGATTATTATTGGTGGCACAAGTTAAAAATCTGTGACTTTGAATAACAGCAGTTAAGTGTCTGGTTTTTACCCCCTTTTTGCCTCTTTTGCAATAAAATTATTTCTGAAAAATATAAATTCCCTATCATATCCTGTATTCCCATTACTTCATTTTTTATGTCTGATTTTACTGTGGCAAAGTTTTGTTTTTCTCTCATCTCCTGTCTCTCCCTCATGTTTCTACGCTGTCTTGTTCGAGTAATTCACTATCAACCCAACAATCAGAGTAAAAGCAGGGCTGAGAGGGGTGGATTCTGTGGGCACAACTAGCCAAAGAACGTGTCATTTTCATTATTTATTTTAAGGAGGGCACTTGAAGTTTGCAAAAAACAGAAAAACTAAATGTTTAAAGAAAAATGTGGTATTTACCCTAAAAAGTGAAGTTCACTATGTTCAGACATTCTGACATTGGATTTCTCTAGTGCATTTTCAAAAAGATGAGAAATTTTCTCAGAAAGGAGGGTCTCAATGATCTGAATGATGTTGTTATTTTGAGAACTAAGATTTGTGAGGCATGTGAGACCTCAGGGAAGTCATTTAGATATCACATCAAAGATCTGTAAAAGCTTTACAATGCCGTCATGAAAGAGGATTGATACGTCTGCACATGTCACTGTAGTATAGCAAACCTGTACAGGGTGGTACACAAAAAATGGGTGTTTTCGAGATAAATGCTTGTTTGATCACAGATTTGCTAACCACTGCCTAACCAACCTTGTTTACTGGTTGACCTTTGACCTTTTCAACTTGGGCACAGTCTTCCAGCCAAAATGCATCTGAGGCAGAGGAAGCCGAAGAGGAGGAGCTTTCATTGTCCTGCTTCATCATCGTCCAGTATGGAGAAGGGGCTCGCACTTCTTTCTTGTGATCCCTGTGAATCATCACATCGCAGTCAATGTCTTTTCCTACACTGATAGTATGGTTCTTCTTTTTGTATCCATGCCATTCTCTGGAGATAGACATTGGTCTCCTTGCAGGGTGATGCTCAGTTGACCATGGATATCTATAATATTGAAGTCTTTTCTCTAACACTATGTCTTCATTGTCATCACTGCTTGTGAAAGATTCATCTTTTGCCTGCTCGGTTTTCTTTGGTGTGCTGAAATGAAAAGAATAGTGAATGAAATGGATTCTTCATGTCTGAACATTTGTGGTCCCCTAACAAGATGTCTCATAACCTGCTCTGGCTCGTAAAAGAAAGATACAATTTAGCTTTAGCACTACCTTTCTGTGTCACTGAAGTTTTTCACTTTTTAAAAGGACCTCTAAATTTTTTTTTAATTCCTAAATGTAAATCAAACTCTGCCTTAAATTATTTCACACTATTTTTAAAAATTTTGCACAGGGCCGGCCCGGTGGCGCACTGCTACAGTGCGCCGCTTGGGAGCGCAGCGGCGCTCCCGCCGAGGGTTCAGATCCCACATTCAGACCGGCCGCTCACTGGTTGAGCGAGGTGCAGGCGCAACACCGAGGGTTGCGATCCCGCTGCCGGTCCCGGTCCGGTACGGGCGCAACACTGAGGGTTGCGATCCGTTGCCGGTCACGAAAAAAGACAAAAAGGAAAAAAAAAAAATTTTGCACAGACTTAAGCCAGACTACTGAGTGAATATTGGGAGGTCTTAATGGGTGGATTAATTTCACTGCATCTAGAGTGACAGGTTCAACCTGGCCATCTCCTCCTGAGAAAAAAAGGAAAACAAAATTTTGCACAGACTTAAGCCAGACTACTGAGTGAATATTGGGAGGTCTTAAAGGGTGGATTAATTTCACTGCATCTAGAGTGACAGGTTCAACCTGGCCATCTCCTCCTGAGAACTCTGTTTTCTTGGGTCACTTGGCTATAACAATACTAATTAACTGGGAGTTAGGAAATAGTGGGCCTCAAAGATCTTCAACATGCTAGTCATTAGTACATTTTTGAGTTGCCTTTTTTTGATTCCACCTCCCTTGCCATCCAAAACCTTTAAAGGTTTTAAAGGCATTTTGTTTTGCGCTGCCCGTAAGGGGATCCAAACCCTTAGACCTTGGTGTTATCCACACCATACTCTAACCAGCTGAGCAACCGGCCAGCCTAAAGGTTTTCTGATAACTTGCCCCAACTATTGGCTGTCTTAATTCTTGCAATCTGGGTGATACCTGCCTGCCACAAGCACAGGCCTCTGAGTGCTTCTAATGCCTGCAGTACTCATGCTTGCTATTGCTTTCCAGAACAAATACTCCGTCACCTGCTGTCCCTCATCCTGCTGCTGTTGTCCAGCAGATCCAAGACTAGGCCTTTGTGATTACAAACCTGTGGTACGTTCTGGCCTGCTAATAGGAAATAGGTTTCTTTCCCTACCCCCCGACCTGTCAGTCTTGCTAGTGTTGTCACTAATACTCTTCACTTCCAAGAATTTGAACAGCTTTTCCTAAAGCTTATCCCTTCTAGTAATAGACAGTTGGTATTGAGTCATTTTTACTGAGCCATGAGTCTTAAATTGTGTGATTTTTCTTTATCCTTGATTTAGGGCCATGCAAGAAGATTTAGATGATCTCAGGGCTCCAACCATCTTCAGACACACACAGATCTTCCTGAACATCACACAAATGAGGAAAAAAAAATCCAAGTTGCTTTTTTTTTTTTTTAGACCACAAGGGGTATCCTTGGTAACTGTATTGGGTAATCATAAGGGCAGGTGGCAGAGCTGGACTCTCATTAAACTGGCAGTAGATAATAAAGCCACAACCAGTAGAGGCCAGAGTTGGCTGGAAACAAAGCTTTGATGCCACCAGGCCTACCCGGAGCACTATGTGGAATACTCCCTGCGGGGTGTGCACAGGGCCACTTGCTCCAGGTCTGAGAAGGAAGCCTGGCCTTCCCCTTCTGCCCCTTCCCAGCCCCCTTCCATGTAAGTTACTAAAATGCCTGAGATACAAGTTCTTAGCTTGATTAAGAAAGGGATTCAGGGCCAGCCCCGTGGCGCACTCAGGTGAGTGCAGCGCTTGGGAGCGCAGCGGCACTCCCGCCACGGGTTCGGATCCTATATAAGGCTGGCCGGTGCGCTCACTGGCTGAGCACTGTGCAGGCGACACCGGCCGAGGGTTGTGATCCCCTTACCGGTCACAAAAAAGACAAAAAAAAATAGAAAGGGATTCAGAGCATGCTCGGTATTGCTCCTTAGGTTTGTGGGTTCTAGCCTCATACTTAATTTGTGCTGTTCTCCCAGTTTGTCTCTGCTTTTGAATGGTCCATCTGCCAGCCCTACATTTTAATATTCTGAATCTCAAACTCCTGCATGTAATGAAAATGCTTAGAACATAATAAGCAAATGGTTAAGAGCTCAGGCTTTAGAGTTGGGCTCTCCAGGACAGATGCCACCAGCTATGTATGGCTGTCAAGTTTATATTGATTACATTTGAATTTAATGTAAAATTTAAAAATCTTAGTTGCAGTCCCCATATTTCAAGTGATTAATAGCCACATTTGGCTAGTGGCTACCATATGGGACAACACAGATGCGGGACATTTCCACCACCACAGCAAGTTCTTACTGGACATTGCTGCTCTGGAGACAAACCCGTGACATTTAGCCTATGTCCCCTGGCAAGCTGACATACACCTCTCTGGGCTTCAGCTTTCTCATCTGTAAAATGAGGCTAAGAAAAGGAATGGGCGCAAGGATTAAATGGTATGAAGTTTATTTCAGCACCCACCACACAGCAAACAATGGATACCTCTCCACAATTATCACTGATTTCTAATCAAATCAGGATTGGTTTTGTCACTGGGGAAAAAGATCAGTCTGCCTGGTCTGAAGGGGACAGCTGCTACCCACCTCTAGGCCGCTGTCACCATGTGGGAACACAGGCCCATCTTCTGATCTTTCAGGAGAAATGAGACATGCAGATTCTTTCCATGAGATTTTTTTTTTTTTTTTTTGGTGGCTGGCCGATATGGGGATCCGAACCCTTGACCTTGGTCTTATAACACTGCACTCTAACCAGCTGAGCTAACCAGCCAGCCCCCTGTGAAATCTTAGATTTGTTAATTTGGCAAGTAAAATATTTTCATTTTTTAAAATTGGAAATACATAGAAAAGTGCAAAAAAAAAAGTTTAATGAAGAGAAAATGAAAGCAAACACCCCACCACCCAGGTCAAGAAACAGAGAGTTACTGACCCCGGTAAAGCCCCCACGACCCTCGCTGTCTGCAGGCGACTGCTCTGGGTTTTTTAATGCTGTGGGAGCCGAGCCAAGCACAGCTGTGGGTCACATGAGTCCCTTCAACCTCAAGTGCTGTCTGCAGGCGACTGCTCTGGGTTTTGTAATGCTGTGGGAGCCGAGCCAAGCACAGCTGTGGGTCACATGAGTCCCTTCAACCTCAAGTTTGAGTCTCTGAAATAAATTTATGTAATGTGGGCCATTTTCTAGCCTTAGTAAAGTCCTTAGCTTTATTTCTTTCACCCCATCCCAATACCAAATCCTGACAGAATTATTAAGGATCACTCATGTCAGAGCACTGAATTTGTCACTAAAGAAATGGATCTCATAGTCTCCATATTCTCATGTTCTATGCAATACTTTCTCCTATATCTAATCCTCAGAAGAGTCCCTATTACTCCTGTGTTACAGATAAACAAGTTCTCAGAGATTATTTAGGTGATTTGTCTGAGATTCGAAGCTGTATTTCAATTTTTCATTTACTCTTTCAATAAATGAGCCCTCAGCCACATGAAAGTCTTGTGGTAGGTTTCACAGATCAAGACAAACTCAGTTCCTGCCTTCATGGGGCTTACATTCTCCCAGGGAAACACTAAGTAAACAGTTGATTATACAGGTTATTTAATTAAACTTAGGATAAGTGTGAAGGAGATACACAGAGTGCTGTGAGAGCATATGACAGGTAGACCTGGCAGTGTTTCAATGCTTCCTTTAGGAAGGCCTCTTGGAGAAAGTCTGCACTGTGAGGCTTCAAGGATCAGTCATGTGTTCCAAGCATGTTACAGGCAGAAGAGTGAGTGCAGAGGCCCTGGGGTGAGAAGCAGTCCATGGCAGAAAGCTGAAAGCCAAGTGGGCTAGAGAGAGAAGGGAGAGCAGTGTAATACGAAGTGAGAGTGGCCCGCAGAAGCCGGCCAGACCGCAACAGTACTGTAGGCCAATGCATGGGTTTATCCTGAGAATGAAAGGTCTTTCGTTTCCTGAGCAGGAGCATGCCATGGTCAGGTTTGCACCATGAAAGGATCATTCTGTGTAGAGAATAAACAGGGAGCAGGAGCAGATGCAGGGAGACCAAACAGTGGCTTGGACTGGGCAGTGGTTGTGGCCAGGGCGAGACGTGGACAACGTGAGAAATGGTTAGGAAGTAAAAGGACAGTCTTAGTTATTAGGGGAGGGAGGTGGCGAAATCAAACACAGCCCCTATATTCTGGCTTATTCAACTAGGAAAACACTTCCCCAGTAAGATAGGGCCACTAGAAGATCACTGGTGAGGTGGCTTTTGATTTTAAACATAATGAGTCTGAAGGATTTATGATACATCCAAGTGGAGATCTCAAATGGGTATTTAAATATACAAGTTTGTAGATAATACTCATACAATTTGAAAGTGATTAGTGTATTGATAGTAATAGAAACCATAGGCATCAATGAGACTGAGAGAAAAGAACCAAGGACTAAACCTTGAGGAACTCCAAAATTGGGTGAAAGGAGACCAAGAGGAGGTGACCAGAGGTGATAGGAAAACCAGGGGAGTATGCCATCACAGAAGTCTGGGGAAATTGATATTTCAAGAGGAGTGGGGGTGGAAAGTTGTGAAGTATCTAATGCTGCTTGCTCAGAAGCCACGCAAAATGAAGACTGAGCAGAGTCCACTGGAATAGCAGTATGAAGGCCGTGGGTGACACTGGGAAGAGGCCTCTCAGCCTAGATTGAATTGGGTTGAGGAGCTCCTGGGAAGTAGAGATGGCCAGTATGGCTCTTTCAACGAGTGGGGAGGAGAGTGGGGGAAGGACAGGGCAGTAGCTGGAGGGGCAGAGGGGTGAGTAGAGTATAAGGGAGGGTTTGCTAAGATGGGAGAAGCTTGAAAAGGCTTAACTGTTACTGGGAAAACCCCAGAGAGAAGTAAGTTGAATGCGTGAGAGGAAGTAGGGTTCACACCTTGTGTTTTAAGGGCTGACTTGGGAAAGAGCACAGTGCAGGTGGGTTTGGAGACAGAGTTACCATCTGATTGCTTGTTGGTTGGTTTTGGTTTTTTTTAAACTCCAAGTTGCCTTTATCACGTTGCCTCATATTAGGTTTTACAGACTGTCCTTTCCAAAAGGATTTAGAAGCCCAATAAATTATTCTGGCGGTGTAACCAATCCCTCCTACAATGGTCCTTACTATGTGATAATTCTCACATTAAACCAGGACACTGTGTTTCACAGGCTCTGGGGTTCTGTGTTATAACAAAGAGTTCCTAAGGGGCCGGCCCGGTGGCGCACTGGATAGGGCGGCGCTCCCACCTGAAGGTTCGGATCCCACATACAGACCGGTTCCTGCTCACTGGCTGAGCGAGGCGCGGGAGGAACACCTAGGGTTGTGATCCCG